ACTAGAAACAAGCTTATGGGAGGCTGAAGCAGGTAGACTGCCTGAGCTCATGCGTTCGAGACCAGCCTGAGCAAAAGCAATACCCCATGACTACTAAAAATAGTAAAACTGAGGTAAAAGGATTGCTTGAGTCCAAGAGTTGGAGATTACTGTGAATAATGATGCCACAGCACTCTACCAGGGCGACAGCTTGAGACTGTCTCATGAAAAAAATAAAAGGCTTGGTGTCCGTAGCTCAGTGAGTAGGGCTCCGGCCACATACACTGAGGCTGGTGGGTTCAAGCCCACCGGGACTTCCAAACAATGACAACTGCAACCAAAAAATGGCCAGGCTTTGTGGTGGGCACCTGTGGTCCCAGCTACTTGGGAGTATAAGGCAAGAGAATCGCTAAAGCACAAGAGTTTGCAGTTGCTATGACCTGTGACGCCATGGCACTCCACTGAGGGTGACACACCAAGACTCTGTCTCAAAAAAAAAAAAAAGGAAACAGAAACTTAGAACCAAGGGTGTCTATGACTCTGAAAGACAATTTTAATTGTTATGTATTTATGTTTTTAACTATGCTGTGTATGTATATGTATAGGAAACCTTCCATAGACTGGACTCATCAGTGTTTACTTGGATCCCTGAAGATACTCCAGAATCTTTCCATTAATAATAATCACTTCAACTTAGAAAGCAATTCTGGTGAGCTAGTTACTTGCAAATAAAAGAGGCTTCGTCACAAAAACTGTGTACAGAATAGTTTCTTATCTAAAAACTATATATAGAATCACCTTTCTCTGAATAATAGTTTTGCCTTTTTACTTTAACAAAACTTTACTTTCCTGAAGTTGTATGATGTGTAACATGTAGGGTAGGAAGCCAATCTGATATGTTCCTATTATGAAGTGAAATTTTGTGTCCCCCTCCCAAATTCATATGTATTTTGAAGTCCTAACTCCTAATTTGACTATATTTGGAAATTGAGGCTTTATGGAAGTAATAAGGTTAAATAGGGCTACAGGGTGGGGCTTTGATCTGTGGGAAGAGATACAAGAGAGCTCACTTTTCTCAAGCACAAGAAGAGGTCATGTAAGCATACAGCAAAATGAGGGCCACCTACAAGCCAGGAAAAGGAAACCTACTTTGCCCACACCTTGACCTTGTATTTGCTACCCACCAGAACTCTGAGAAAACTAATTTCTGTTGTTTAAGCCACCCAGACTGTGGTATTTTGTTATGGCATCCAGGAAAACTGAAACAGTTCCCCAAATGGGTAGCTAGTCGTCCTAATGACATTAATTGAATAATCCATCATTACCCAACTGTTTAGTGCTCCTGTAACAAAATGCCATTGACTGGGTAGCTTCAACAATAGAAATTTATTTTCTCACAGTTGTGGAGACTAGAGTTCCAGATCAAGGTCTGGCTGGTTTAGTTTCTGACTAGGACTCTTGCAGAGGGAAGTCTTCTCCCTAAGTCCTCACATAGCCTCTAAGTGTCTGCTGTGTACAGCGACAGAGGGAGAGGAGAAGGAAGGACGAGAAGGCAGGAGAAGGAAAAAGGGAGAGGAGGGAGGGACACAGTGAGCTCCCTGGTGTTTCTTCCTATAAGGACGTTAATCCAATCACGGCAGGGCCCCACCCTTCAGAGCTTATTTAATCATAATTACTTCCATAAAGCCTGTCTCCAAAATATGGTAATAAGATCATAGGGCTTCAATATAAATTTTGGGTGAGCACATTCACAAGAACTATAGCAAATGCTATAATTTTATTCCATTTTCTAAATTGTTATTTTTGTAAGCTATTGATGTAGAAATGTATTTGGAATGATGTACTCCTACATTTTCTGAGGGGAGAAAACCCAGCAATAAAACACCATCAATCACTTTTGTGGAAAATAGATAAAAATGTGGCTCAGCACCTGTGGCTCAAGTGGCTAAGGCGCCAGCCACATACACCTAAGGTGGCGGGTTCGAATCCAGCCCGGCCCCACAAACAACAATGACGGCTGCAACCAAAAAATAGCCAGGCGTTGTGGCAGGCACTTGTGGTCCCAGCTATTTGGGAGGCTGAGGCAGGAGACTTGCTTGAGCCCAGGAGTTGGAGGTTGCTGTGAGCTGTGATTTCACAGCACTCTACCCAGGGAGACAGCTTGAGGCTCTGTCTCAAAAAAAAAAAAAAAGAAAGAAAGAAAGAAAGAAAAAGAAAATAGATAAAAATGCATGAAAAAACATAAATGCGTGTGTGTGTGTAGGAAAGGCTGTGCACCCTTCGCAACAGTTACCTCTGCGTGGTGAGATTGCAGGCAATAAGCATTTTCTTGTTTTTGTGTACTTTCTGGCATTTCAGAAATACAAGGGAAGCAATTAACACAAAAACTTCTTGAGCACTAGAACAAAAAGCTACCTGATCCTGGTATTGTTTTAATAAAACACAGGATCCCATTAAATGTGCAGTCTTTCCCCAGGGACGGTGGTATGTTTCTGCGCTAGTGTTGTTTCAACATTGGCAAGGATTGCAATGCTTACCCAGAAACATTTACGTGAGTATCGTCGACAGAGGAGACCTGACTCTCTGTTGCAGCATCTGGGACACAGGTACATAGGCTGCTGCGGAAGGAGCAGGGTGGGACCTCGCGGGGCCGAGATCCCGGGGCCCCCAAAGGCCGCGGACCGCCGGGCACTGGGGAGGGTGTGCGAGGCCTCCGCCGCGCAGGCGCACTGGGCCAGGCTGCCCGCCGCCCCGCTGAGAGGGCGCGGAGCTTCGCAGGGCCGGGAGCTGCGGGCAGGCGGGAGCTTGCGGTCCGGCGGGTGAGGGGGAGATCCCGGGATGCGCTCCCAGGTTCGGGGAGGGGCGGAGCAGGGGCAGCTGGAGCTGGGCCCCGCGGCATCTCTGTCGCGCGCAGTGCTCCGCGCAGCCCCGCAGTCGAGCTCAGACAAAGACCGCGAAGGCGGGGCCAGGCGAATCCAGCCCTGCGACTGAGGTCTGGCCTCTCGTTTAGGGAGGAAAGCGTGGGATCCGAGCGGTTGCGTGACTTGCCACCATCGACGAGTTAAGGAGCTGAGACTCCGCATTCCAGACTGCTTGAGACATAATTACTGCCCCAAACAAAGAATCGAGGTGTATTCGTCTCTGCACTAAGTGACACCTTGGAGGGTGTTGTGGACCTTGTGGGCTGTGTCTGTCTACCATCTCCACGTGTCTTTTGTAAAAATTTTACAGTGGTTTGTGTAAGTTCTAGGGTTGAGACTCTGACCCTGAGCCTCAGTCTAGACTCTAATCTAGTTTTCTACCCAGAGTCTGCAGGGAACTGTAGAGGTGGCTGCTGAGAATAAACCCCTGGCACCTCCCGCTGCCGGCTGCGGGGACAGATGGAGTTCAGGTTGGGAGACGGGTCTTGACAGCCTTTGACAGAAGCGAGGGCAGAGCTCAGATTTTGGTGCTGTATGCTTCCGGTGTTCCTGATAATGAGGCTCCAGAGGAGCGGAAGTGGTGACTACAGGTGACCTGTACACCTGTGAAGCCTCCTGTCGGAGGTTCCAGCAGTTTCCTCCCCAGAAGTGGACAGGCCTGAGGGCTGAGATAGAGAGTTGCTCAGAAAGGAGGCGAAGTCATCATGCCGCAGCGGTTCCAGATCTCCCTGCCTACTGAGGCCAGCACCTGGGTGAAGTTGCCCCATCCAAAGAAGGCCGAGGAGGGGCCGCCCCGGAGGGAGGATGTGACTAAATTGTTTAAACAAGAAGGTGAGAGTAACCTGATGGGTGGGAGGGAGGAAAAGCCATCGCCTCCTGTGTGAAAAGGATGGTAGATGCCTGAGTGGAAATGTGTCTTGGGGAGATAATTGGGTGAAAGATCTCTGGAGTTCTTCATTATGGCTTCTGGTCTGTGGTTTTCATTAAGTACTAGTGGTCAGTTCAGCCTAAAAGGATACTGTAATGTCCTAGCTATGTATGTTTTTATTATTTATTTATTTTTGAGACAGAGTCTCAATATGTTGCCCTGGGTAGAGTGCCATAACGTCACAGCTCACAGCAACCTCAAACTCCTGGGATTACACCATTCTCTTGCCTCAGCCTCCCAAGTAGCTGGGACTATAGGCACCCACCACAATGCCCAGCTATTTTTTTGTTGTTGCAGTTGCCATTGTTTAGCAGGCCTGGGCCGGGTTTGAACCCGCCAGCCTCGGTGTATGTGGCTGGCACCCTACCCACTGAGCTGGGGCACTTCCGCTATGTATGTTTTGTTTTCATCTTCCCTGTGAGCATGTGTGGCAGGATAGTCTCATCTGATTTCCTTTCTTCTAGCAGTTCAGGAACTGTAAATCAAAAGGGAGACCTGCCCAGGATCACACAGGTACTCTTGTGGTTGGGCCAGAAGTAGAAGGCAGGGAGAGAAGTCCCCAGTGAATCTAGAGCTAGACTTGGGCTAGAAAGCAGGGACGAGCCTAAGGACTAATGGACATGTGTCAAAAGGATGCAGGAGCCAGGTTCAGGGGACTGCCAGTGGACACATTTGGGACAGTTTAGGTGTCCAAATTGATTGTAACACCTTGAATAAATAAGATTCCATAGCTCACAGTGACACTTTAAATAGAAAAAAGTGAAGTGGAAAAACTCATTTGCAAACACATTGGAGGCAATTAATATCCTGATGCCTTACTTTGAAAAATAGGTTGTCATGGGGATGAATGATGCATTTACCTTGCATTTTAGATCATCTGCAGTTGGTGAGAGAGAGCTCTTTACCAAAACACCTGCCAATAATTCTGTAGAACAAATGATAGAATACTATAAATGAAATAATTGAAAGGCTGATGGGGAATAGATACTAACAGTGTTAAAGTATTACCCTCTTAGATTACGCTAAATGCTAAGGAAAGAACATACTTGGCTCAGCGCCTGTGGCTCAAGTGGCTAAGGTGCCAGCCACATACACCTAAGGTGGTGGGTTCAAATCCAGC